TTGGCCACTCCAGGACCCTGAAATGCTTCTTACGAAGCCACTCCTTCGTTGCCCCGGGTAGTATGTTTGGGATCATTGTCATGTTGGAAGACCCAGCCACGTTTCATCTTCAATGCCCTTGCTGATGGAAGGAGGTTTGCACTCAAAATCTCACGATACATGGCCCCATTCATTCTGTCCTGTACATGGATCAGTCATCCTGGTCCCTTTGCGGAGAAACAGCCCCAAAGCATGATGTTGCCACCCCCATGCTTCACAGTAGGTATGGTGTTCTTTGGATGCAACTCAGCATTCTCTCTCTTCCAAACACAACGAGTTGTGTTTCTCCCAAACAGTTCTATTTTGGTTTCATTTGACCATATGACATTCTCCCAATCCTCTTCTGCAAACTTCAGACGGGCCCAGACATGTACTGGCTTAAGCAGGGGGACACGTCTGGCACTGCAGGATCTGAGTCCCTGGCGGCGTAGTGTGTTACTGATGGTAGCCTTTGTTACGTTGGTCCCAGCTCTCTGCAGGTCATTCAGTAGGTCCCCCCGTGTGGTCCTGGGATTTTTGCTCACCGTTCTTGTGTCCATTTTGACACCACGGGGTGAGATCTTGCGTGGAGCCCCAGATCGAGGGAGATTATCAGTGGTCTTGTATGTCTTCCATTTTCTAATTATTGTTCCTACAGTTGATTTGTTCACAGCAAGCTGCTTGCCTATTGCAGATTCAGTCTTCCCAGCCTGGTGCAGGTCTACAATTTTGTTTCTGGTTTTCTTCGACAGCTCTTTGGTCTTCACCATAGTGGAGTTTGGAGTGTGACAGTTTGAGGTTGTGGACAGGTGTCTTTTATATTGATAACAAGTTCAAACAGGTGCCATTGATACAGATAATGAGTGCAGGACAGAGGAGCCTCTTAAAGAAGAAGGTACAGGTCTGTGAGAGCCAGAAATCTTGCTTGTTTGTAGGTGACCAAATACTTATTTTCCACCATAATTTGCAAATAAATTCTTTCCAAATCAGCCAATGTGATTGTCTGAATTTTTTTTCTCATTTTGTCTCTCATAGTTGAGGTCTACCTATGATGCCAATTACAGGCCTCTCTCATCTTTTTAAGTGGGAGAACTTGCACAATTGGTGTCTGACTAAATACTTTTTTGCCCCACTGTATATGGTGGGTAGGACAAAGCTCCATCCATTAATTGGCCAACCAAGGACAAAGAAAAGAAAAAGGGGCATCTGAAACTATTACACAATGTATATAAGACCACAAAATACCAAAGGAAACTTTAATACAAATGTAGATCCAGATCCATCTCACATTTAACCCTTGAGGTGATCTAGTCTGCAACTTAAAAATCCCCCAACCACACTTCAACCACACATTATGTCCCTTGGTTTTAGACTGGGATATCCAACAAACCCATATAGATGTAATGGTCGGCCATATATTAGACCTCTACAACCCTTGCTGTGTCACTCCTGCCTGCCTTTCAGAACGCTGCTAGCTGTTTCACTTAAGAATAAATATCCAGATGACTTGGTTCTCCATCTCAGAATCTCAGTGTTATATAATGGTCATTTTGGAAAGTTATTAAATGATTTCCTGAGAAAGCCTCTGTCCTGTCAACTCCGGAAATTTGAAGCAATACAGTCCACTCTGTGCTCTACAAATAATATTTATTTAGCGGTTGTCTGCTTCAATGTTATTAATGATATTGGTTTTATGGAGCATCCATGAGATTTGGGTTTTACGAGTAAACAATGACTTCTAAGTCCGTCATAATGGAATTGTTGACAGAAGCTCCTTAATAGGGAACTATGTCTTATCTTGGCATTGACAAAAAAACACAAGGTCTATTTATGGGATTTATTCCGATCTCATAAACCGATGACCTTCAGCCAAGGAAAACAAAAACTCAACATACCAGACAGTGAGGAAAAAACATATCACAGAATGACAGCGTGCGTTCATGAGAAACCTTCTGAATTCATTCTCATCCAGAGTGCCCGATATAGTGAAGGATAGGCGTCGTACTCAAAGGCTTTATTTTCTATTATTTGATTTTTGACCGGGAGTCACCCCAGACAGAAGGACTTTTATTATTTATTAAAAAAATCTAAATCCACAATGTAGCAATCTGAAACTCTCTGGGTTCACACCTCTGTGTGTTGTGATTGATTGATGTTTTTGCGGTGCATTTTGCATTTTTTAACACACCTTTTTTTATGCATTTTTTTCCAAGGAAAGTATTGACTTATTGCCACTTTGATGCAGGTTTGATGTGACTTTGGATGGGTGCGTCTTGGATGCAACTTTGGATGGGTACAACTTGGATGCAACTTTGATGTGACTTGGATGCAACTTCAGATGGCTGCGACTTTGGGACTTGGATGCGACTTTGGATGGGTGCTACTAGGATGTGACTTTGATCAGGGCTGTCTTTATTATTGATTGGGCCCTGGGCAATATTTCTTGTCCCCCCCCCCCCCCCCCCCCCCCCCACACACACACTGAGACATACAAAAAAACAGCAGGCAGCAATTGCAATTGGTTGCCAGAGGTTACAGCCTATCATTACCACTCACTGACTGTTTACTAGAGGTTACAACATGTAATTTCTGCTTGCTGATTGGTTGCTAGAGGTTACTGTACATTGTTACTGTTCACTGATTGGTTGCTATAGATTACTGCTTACCATTATTGATTGGTGGCTAGAAGTTACAGCACATCATTACCACTTACTGATTGGTTGCTAGAGGTTACTGCACATCATTACTGCTGATTGGTTGCTAGAGACTACAGCAGATCACTACTGTTCACTGACTGGTTGCTAGAGGTTACTGCACATCGTTAACGCTCATTGAGCAGTGGAGCAATCCCAAATAATTGATCAAGACGGCACATTAATACACATACTACAAGGGATGGTAAGAAACTGTAGACATCCTACAGGAGACAGTCAGAGACTGTAGACATACTACAGGAGATGATTTTAGACTGCAAACATACTACAGGAGATGGCCGATGACTGCAAATGTACTACAGGAGGTGATCAGAGACTGTGGATGTAGCACAGGAGATGACCAGAGACTGCATATTTACTACAGGAGATGACCAGAGGCTGCAGACGTACTAAAGGAGATGGCCAGAGACTGTGAATGTACTACAGGAGATGATTAGAGACTGCGGATGTACTATAGAAGATGACCAGAGGCTGCGAATGACCTACAGAAGATGACCAGAGACTGTGGTTATACTACAGGACATGACCAGAGACTTCAAATGTTCTACAGGAGATGACCAGAGACTGTGGATATACTACAGATGACCAGAGACTGCGGATGTACTACAGGAGATGATAAGAGACTGCGGATGTACTATAGAAGATGACCAGAGACTGCAGACATATTACAGGGGATGACCAGAGACTACAATTTACTATAGGAGATGACCAGAGACTGTGGATGTACTACAGGAGATGACCAGAGACTGCAGACATAGTACAGGAAATGGCCAGAGACTGCGGATGTACCACAGCAGATGATCATAGACTGTTGATGTACTACAGGAGATGACCAGAGACTGTGGATATACTACAGGAGATGACTGGAGACTGTGGATGTACTACAGAAGATAACCAGAGACTGCAGACATACTACAGGGGATGACCAGAGCCTGTGGATGTACTACAGGAGATTACCAGAGCCTGTGGATGTACTACAGGAGATGACCAGAGACTGTGGATATACTACAGGAGAGATGACCAAAGACTGCGGATGTACTATAGGAGATGACAAAAGACTGTGGATGTACTACAGGAGATAATCAGAGACTACGGATGTACTACAGGAGATAATCAGAGACTGCAGACATATTACAGAGGATGACCAGAGACTGCAGATATACTATAGGAGATGATCAGAGACTGTGGATTTACTGTAGGAGAGATGACCAGAGACTGCAGATATACTACAGGAAATGGCCAGAGACTGCGGATGTACCACAGCAGCAGATGATCATAGACTGTGGATGTACTACAGAAGATGACCAGAGACTGCAGACATAGTACAAGAGATGACCAGAGACTGCTGACATACTACAGGAGATGACCAGAGACTGCAGACATAGTACAGGAGATGACCATAGACTGCAGACATAGTACAGGAGATGATCAGAGACTATGGATGTACTACAGGAGGACCAGAGACTGGGGACATACTACAGGAGATGACCAGAGACTGCGGACATACTACAGGAGATGACCAGAGACTGCGGACATAGTACAGGAGATGACCAGAGACTGCGGACATAGTACAGGAGATGACCTGAGACTGCGGACATAGTACAGGAGATGACCTGAGACTGCGGACATAGTACAGGAGATGACCAGAGACTGCGGACATTGTACATGAGATGACCAGAGACTGCGGACACAGTACAGGAGATGACCAGAGACTGCGGACATAGTACTAGTACAGGAGATGACCAGAGACTGCGGACACAGTACAGGAGATGACCAGAGACTGCAGACATAGTACAGGAGATGACCAGAGACTGCGGACACAGAGACAGGAGATGACCAGAGACTGCAGACACAGTACAGGAGATGACCAGAGACTGCAGACACAGTACAGGAGATGACCAGAGACTGCAGACATAGTACTGGAGATGACCAGAGACTGCGGACACAGTACAGGAGATGACCAGAGACTGCGGATACAGCACAGAGATGACCAGAGACTGCGGACACAGTACAGGGGATGACCAGAGACTGTGGATGTACTACAGGAGATGACCAGAGACTGCAGACACAGTACAGGAGATGACCAGATACAGACACAGTACAGGAGATGACCAGAGACTGCGGACATAATACAGAAGATGACCAGAGACTGCGGACACAGTACAGGAGATGACCAGAGACTGCGGACACAGTACAGGGGATGACCAGAGACTGCGGACACAGTACAGGAGATGACCAGAGACTGCAGACATAGTACAGGAGATGACCAGAGATGCGGACACAGTACAGGAGATGACCAGAGACTGCAAACATAGTACAGGAGATGATCAGAGACTGTGGACATAGTACAGGAGATGACCAGAGACTGCGGACATAGTACAGGAGATGACCAGAGACTGCGGACACAGTACAGGAGATGACCAGAGACTGCGGACACAGTACAGGAGATGACCAGAGACTGCGGACATAATACAGAAGATGACCAGAGACTGCGGACACAGTACAGGAGATGACCAGAGACTGCGGACACAGTACAGGGGATGACCAGAGACACACAGTACAGGAGATGACCAGAGACTGCGGACACAGTACAGGAGATGACCAGAGACTGCGGACACAGTACAGGAGATGACCAGAGACTGCGGACACAGTACAGGGGATGACCAGAGACTGCGGATGTACTACAGAAGATAATCAGAAACTGCTGACAAATTACAGGGGATGAACAGAGACCTTTCAGCAATGTAAAGATATACAGTTTGTGAAAACCAGCTCAGGTTTTTTATTATAACAGTCCACAGGCAGTCTATGGGGGGGGGGGGGGGCATACCTGACCAGCCATTCTCAGCATCCTCTCTGAGGTCCGGGTGCGGGGCTTCCACTCAGCAGTTCCCTCCCAAAATTGCGGGCTGCATGGGGCGGGGTCAGTGGAGCACCCGGACCTGGCCCCGCCCCCATCCTTCTGGCTGAGGAATACAGTGATGTCTCCAGTGTACCCTGTGCAGTCTGTAGTGCAATCATTGGGGCCTTAATTTGCTGGCAGCACAGGCATAAGGGGCAGCTGATTTGGGCCCCATAGCAAAGACTGGGCCCAGAGCAGTTGCCCAGTCTGCCCCGCGTTAAAGACGGCCCTGACTTTGATGCTACTTGAGTGCCAGTGAGTGAAACACTAGGTTCGCACTGAATCCAATTTTAAAATTGTGTGGCTTTACATGAAGTTGTGCGATTTCAAAGCTGCAGGTCGGTGCGATTTCAGGTGTGACTTGCCTGACATCTGAGTGACTTCATGCACAGATGTCTATGCAAGTCGCACATGCAATCGCAAAAATAGTGCAGGAACCTTTTTTCAAATCAGTGCAGCACCGAAAAGTCGGATTTGAACGGTTCCATTGATGACAATTGGGTACGACTTGTCATTTGATTTAGAACTGTCATATTTGGAACTGTCAAATGTCAACTGACATTTGATAAGTGGAGTTAAAGAATCGGAGTTGAAAACAGGAGATTATAACAGGAGTCTACTAACCTGTAAGTGACAACGGATATTTCCTATTAATATTGTAACTGGGATAATGTGTGCTAGCAGGGTGAAAGATTTTGTGCAGTGCACAGTATGCCGCATGTATGCAGCAATGGAGCAGCAGCTCCAGAATGGATACTGTTGAGACGGATGTGAGTGGGTTGCCCTTCTTAAAACTTGCCTTAGAGATCTGGAGGAGCAAGTTGTAACGCTGGGCAGAACCGACAACCTTGAAAGGGGTCTTCTTCTGTCTGAGTAGGTAGCTAATGGGATTGATGTGGAGGGTGGAGGGGCTAATCGGGATTATCAGATAGGAAGATGGGTTACTGTAATGTGAGGGAGTGGTGTGGGGCTCACAGAAAAGGAAGGCCGGCAATGGGTTTGTACACCTAAACAGATTTGCCAAGTTGGGTGAAGATGTGGGGGTGGCAAGCTCAGGGGTGGCAGCCCTGGATGTCACTGCTATCCCTAACAGCCAGGAAGGCAGACCATCTGGGAGGGGTGGTGAGGGTAGTGCAGGAAGGCCTAGACAGCTGTTGGTAGTAGGGGATTCTATAATCAGAAGGACTGATAGAATATATTGTCCCCAGGATCGCCTCAACCGAATGGTTTGCTGTCTCCCTGGTGCCAGGATTCGGCATGTGGTGGACCAGGTTGATAAATTACTGGGAGGGGCTGGGCATGAACCAGCTGTCTTGGTTCATGTTGGAACCAATGACAGAATACATGGAAGGTGGAGGCTCCTTAAAAATCAATTTAAAGAACTAGGCAGCAAGTTGAATGGAAGGACTTCCAAGGGGATATTCTTTGAAATATTACTTGTGCCATGAGCAACTCAGGAAAGACAGGGGGAGATTAGAGAACTAAATGCATGGCAAAAGACCTGGTGTAAAAGGAAGGATTTGGGTTTCTAGAGCACTGGGCTGACTTTTCATTGGGGGTGCAACCTATATGCTAGAGATGGTTTGCACCTAAATGAAAGGGGGTCGGCTGTGCTGGGGGAGAGGTTTATGGGGAGGCTGGAGAAGTATTTAAACTAGGATCGAGGGGGAGGGAGAATTAGATTATAATGGGGCAGGGCAGAGAGATCAGACAGGGGTCACTCCTTATTGGTGGGTGGAATGGGAAAAGATGGTGGGAGGGCTATAGCAGATGAGGTTCCCATGTTACAAACAACCAGTGGAATTCGTACCATTTGTATGAAAATAAAAAATATGCAAAATACGTGTGTACAAGGTGTCAATGGATTAAAGTATTTGTTCACCAATGCCAGAAGTCTTGCAAGCAAAATAGGTGGTTTGGAAGCTTTGGTGCATGAAGAGAACTATGATTTAATTGGTATTGCTGAATCTTGGCTTCATTCTTCACATGACTGGGCCATTAATATTCCTGGCTATGTTCTCTTTTGGAGAGACAAGGTAAATAGGAAAGGTCTCAGAGAGAGTGTGACAGAGGACCTAGTTGATGGAGAGTGTGATGAGGCTGAAGCATTATGGGTGGAACTGCACATGGGGGTGTGTACTAAAAAGGTAATCATTGGAGTTTGTTATAGGCCTCCCAGTGTTAATGAGGAGGTGGAGACTCAACTCCTTGCAAAGATGAAAAGGGCTGCAAGGGCTTGGACAGTGATAATAATGGGGCATTTTAACTACCCAGAAATTGACTGGCGTAATGGTACTGCAGGAACATTTAAAGGGCAAAATTTTTTAAACCTACTACAGAACAATTTTATGATACAGTTCATAGAGGCCCCAACTAGGAATGATGCTCTGCCCTCAAACCATGCATAGTTTATTACGAATGTCCATATAAAAGAACATCTGGGTAGCAGTGATCATAGCATGATTTTATTTATTGTTGGCAGTAAACAGCAAGCACATACGGGAAAAATAAAACGCTCAATTTTAAGAGAGCTAATTTTCCAAGGCTGAGAGCTGCTCTCCAACACTTAGACTGAGAGGGAATATTGGCATCAATGAACACAACCCAGAAATGGGAGTTCTTCAAAAAGACTGTATGTGAACACACTGCAAAATATCTTCCCATGGGCAACAAGTTTAAAAGGCTAAAAATCAAACCTATGTGGCTTACGGCCAAAGTTAAATTACGGCCAAAGTTTTATATTAAATATGAACTAGAAGGAATGCTATCATAGTTTAACTATTACAAAGAATATAACAGAATATGCAAAAAGGAAATAAAGGTCGCAAAAATTGAAAATGAACGACAGATTGCAAGAATATGAATAAATCAAAGAGTGCGCTAAATATAAGTAAATACAAAAATATTTAGTTTAAAATAATGATGTCGGTGATAGAAAAAAATGTATATAAAAGTCCATCCACCATAACAAAGTAATTAAACAGTTCTGAAATCTTGTATAAATCAAATACCGTGCAAAAAAAATCCACCACTGAATGAAATGGGTACACTCACCAGAGCTCCATGCTGACCAGATTATAAGTCAGCAAAGATAACGTTTTCTCTGGGAGCGATGATCAGCAGAAGTAATCCAAACTGGGAGCAATATACTGCAAGCAGCCAGTCAGCACAATATGGAATAGCCTTAACAGCAGGTAGTCATCACGTCTCCATACCATAGATCATGTTTGGGGAATCAAAAAAGAAATCATGGTGCAGTACGTATAAAACCAAAATGTTTTATTAAAATGTCAGAAATGCACTCACAAACATGGTGTCTAGCCGACACCAGCAATGACAGCCTCAAGAAAAACAGGAACGAGCCTCACTCACCGCGATATCACAGCCGACAGTCTACGAGGAGCGTCCAAACGTCACATCTGGGCGGGGCTTCGTGGTCCGTTTCCATCTGACATCCCCGTAGAAAACAGTGGGCTGTGTCCGCTCTGCATAGAGGAGCAGACACAGACCTGTCATCTGCCTGCTCAGCGGGAATCAGCTGAGAGATCCTCCGCTGACCAGGCGGATACCCTTGACAGATCCGTCTGAAAGTGGCCTTAAACCTGAACTGCAGACAGACAGCCAAATATAGAGATGAAATACATGCATGATATTTGTTTTACCTGCCCACATTACTTGTATTCCTGTCCACCCAGTCCTTAGATTTACACAGCTTTGCCACTCAGCTTAGACTTGCTTGACATGAAAGTGGACCTGATCTTAGCAGTTTCACTTACAGGTTCCCCTCATCCCCATGTCAAAAGAAAAAGAAGAAAAGAAAGTTCCAGGTCAACTTGCCAGCCAGCTTGCCAACAACCGAATTAACCTTTCTAACAGTATGCGTTAAAAACAGGGGTTTAGTTAGCACACATTTGCAAATACATACGTAAACCACAGAGCCACGTCACGGCACTCCGATATTCTGTGGTCCTAACTCTACAAATTTTGAGAGCCCCCATAGTTGAGGCACATGTATTTAATGGATAGACCAAGGGCAGGTGAACCTGAGGGAGCCCACCCCTCCTTAAAGGTACAGGAGCGCACTGGACACCCAGCATGTAGCACAATGGCAGCCAGGGTGTCTTAGTGCACCCACTTACCTACAATTGAACAGTACAAAAAGTGGCCACTGCCCCTGTTTATAACTGGCTTTTGCAGCAAGGACACATGAATGGGCAACGCATGTCAAAAGAAAAAGGAGAAAAGAAAGTTCCAGGTCAACTTGCCAACAACTGATTAACCTAACAGTATGCGTTAAAAACAGGGGTTTAGTAAACACACATTTGCAAATACATATGTAAGCCACCTCATCCCCACCTTGTGATTGGACAGTGAAAGGAAAATCAGCAGACTGATCAGTTCATCTATCTTTCATTCTGATCTCTTCTTTTATCAGCATGCTCCTTCCACTGCAACACATCTGATTGGCCTCTTGTGCTGCTTCTCCCTCCCCAAGTCTGAACTCTCCTGTTCAGAGACTGCAAGAGGCTGATACCAACTTGAACTAGAATATGTATGCAGCCTGCATTTAATATATGTTATTTATTAATGATCATAGAGCTGCATTATATCTTTTATCTGCCAGGTGTTTGGCTTGCCAATAAGGTCAGTCTATCCAAAACTGATATTTCAATTTTAGAGGATGTTGGGGAGATAGAATCAACCTTATCCTATATATTTTGGGG